CTACATTGAGAGTATTTAACAATATTTTCTACTAAATTTTCCGATATCAATATCTTATTGAACACAATAAAATTAATAACCTAACAAAATTTTATTACAAAACTCAACTTTACATACAGTATTTTCTTAATCATTTTCTCTAATAAAAACTTTTCTAATAAAATGATCCTCTAACCGAACAAACCCTAAAAATCAACGCCATACCAAGCCTGCCAAGGCCAAATTCATAGAAACGTTCTCACACAAGAAAGAAGGAATCTTGTACACAAAAATCTTAACCTAAGAATTTCATTGTCAGTGGAAGGCAGCATCAGGAAGCTTCCAGGCCTTCGAGTCTTGCAAACAAATCACTGGTCACGACCAGAATCTTTCGAACTTTCTAACCCCAGAAAGAACTAAACTTCTCCTAGTCCCATAAACCTATCAACTAAACTCCTAGTAGACTAGATGACAAACACCTTCCCTATACAAGTTGTTTAAGAAAACCGTTACGACTTCTGGAGGATACATTTCTCAAGAAGGGCAAGGATTTCCTTTTTATTGGGATTCCTTAGTGCAAGCAGCTCTGCACCAAAATTATGTTTTGTGAGTTCCTGCTTTAGTTTCTGGACAGTGAATTTTGTATGATCCTCCTGACCATTCAGCTGACTCTGGTTATCCCCATCACCTTTAAACACTGACCCACCATCTTCTGGCTGTGTGTAGACAAGAGGGCTAATTGTGCTTCTAGACTTTTTTATTTACTCCTAAAACTCTGTCATTTGCCTCCATGTCTGTATCATCTGTTCTTGAACATTTCCCATGTGACGCAACCTTGAGCTTACTGTCTAAAGCTGTTTCATTTATACGAACTGATATCAACTCTTGCTAGAGTGCGTCAAGTTTTGCCTGTGCTGCTTGTAGTTGAAGTGATAAGGCTTCAGCCCTGTCATTTGCATCATGGGCTGCACGTTCAGATTCCAAAAGATCCAGAAGGGCTTTAACTGTACTAGCTCTCTGTTCATTGTTATTCTTCAATACTGACCCTATTTCTTTTGCCCTCCCTTCAACTCTGGCCGCAAGTAATGCCGCTTTAGAAACCGCTTCCATTTCTAATAGAAGTCTGTGTGCTTCATCCCCCAAGTCTGTTTTCTGTCTGTCCAAGTTCTCAATTTGCCTCTCAGCCCTCTCAATTTGAGCAAATCTTTTCCATTGCTAACCTTTGCACCTCACTCTTTTCTTTCTGAGTTATAACCGACTCTGCTTGTGCTTTATCAGCCAATTCAGTTGCTTTCTTCACTTCTTTCTCAGCTTGTTTGCATCTTTCCTCTAGTTCCTCAAACCTTCTGATCTCAGATAGGTACTTCTGCTCCAAATGGATCCTCTCCTGTTCCAGTATCTTTGCGTCTTTCCCAATTGACTGGGCCTTCCCAATAGCATGTTCTAACTTCTCAGCCAACTTTCTGATTTCAATCTTCAGCACTGATATCTTAGTATCATAGCTCTTCATTTTTGACTCAGCAGCCTGCAAAGTACTTGCCATAGTCCAACATGACTATTCATACATGCACTTGTCCTATAATATGTGAATGCATTTTAATGCAGGATAGAACAACAGCCTTTAAAGCCATTCAGACTTATAATCATCATAGGAAATCATTATACATTTTTTTCTGGAAATAGAAATCATCATATAACCATTCCTTTACCAAACCGCATGCACAGAAATGCGTCCACATGTGCAGAGACACAAACACAGACAAATTCACACACAGGGCCTTCTCATCAGCATGTTCTAACTTCTCAGCCAACTCTCTGATTTCAAGCTTCGGCGCTGATATGTCAATATCATGGCTCTTCATTTTTGACTCAGCAGCCTGCAAAGTACTTGCCATAGTCAAGAATGACGGTGCTCATCCATGCACTTGTCCTTTAATGTGGATGGATCTTGATGCAGGATAGAACCCACTCAGTTATAATCATAGGAAATCATTATGTAGTTCTTTTTTGGTAATAGAAATCAGAATATAACCATTCCTTTACTAAAGCACATGCACAGACTTGCATCTGCACTTCTGCACACACACACACACACAGAGATGTTACAAAGAAGCTGACCTTCAACTCTAGTTTTAGAGTTGTCAAACACTGCTCTGCATACTCAATCCTTGCTGATATGTCCTTTATTTCCTCTTCCTGTATGTCCCAAACAAAAAAAAATTAATTTTCAGCATGCCATTGATTTTTGATGGGTATGCAATGTGTGTGTGTGTGTGTGTGTGTGTGTGAGAGAGAGAGATTTCACCTTATCAGCCAATGTGTTGGCAAACTCCTTCCTCAGAGCATCTTCTCTCAGCTGAGTGCCCTTACTTTGACGCTGTTGCACAGTTGCTGCCTTCTCTAAAGCACCTTTTGCACCACTAACTGCATAATCATACTTCCTTTTCCACACCTCTGCCTCCTTTTGAGCAGACTGAGTTTGTTCCTTGGCAGCAGCCAGCCTTGCTTTAGCAGCACTGCTCCTGGACTTGAGAACTTCAAATTCTGAAAAGACCTGATCCCCGTTTGCTCTCTCTTTTGACAACACCTGATCATATCCTCTTCTCCAGTCTAATAATTCTTACTTGGCAGAATCCGGGGCTTTCATTAAACTAAAACATCTCTCCTTCGGTGAACTGTTATCACCTTGCAGATTATTTATTCAGCTAGTCTATTCTTCAGCCAGGTTCTTCTTGTCATTGATAGCATCATCATAATGCTTCAGATATTCAGATTTATATTTCTCACTATCTTCCAGTTGCTTGTTGAGCAACTTCATCTAATCTTCAATAGAGTGGCATTTCAACACCAGCGAACTCTTCTCTGATCCAATCTGATCTACAAGTCTCTTGGTGAGGTCTAGTATTGGCCCTTCCAAAATGGAAAGCAAAAAAACAGTCCCAAACCTTCTTTGTAAAAATGAAGACAATTTCTACCTCTTTACTGGGCCATGGCACGATACTTCATACTCCGACAGAAGAGCATCAAGAAGCTGCATGTCATGATCTTACCCAATCCAGTGAAAGGTATCTCAATAACAACTCTAATGCCAAAATCATGCATGGAATGGAGAATGCCGGAATACCACCTAGAATTGGCTAGCAGCTCTACAGACCATTCATAATGTAAAATCTAAGCATAAATTGAAATAAAAAAACAAAACTGGGACTGCAGTAATAAAATCTTGCTGGATTAAAACAGGCCCTCTCGGCCTCTTTTCCAGGAATCTTTTCCATGAAGAATAAGGATATCTATTAGCAAGACAGAGAATCGTTACCAGAACAACATTATTTATGTTTGCATCAGAAGCATGACAAGCCGCTCTCAGCCTCTTTTCCATGCTCTGCATGGTGCTTGAACATTGCAAATCTGCCTCCATAAATGCATTCCTTTTATAGTCCAGTATAAATCACCAATCCAAATCAAAATTATCATGTAAAAAACATTGACAAATACACATTTAATTCTTTCTAAGAATTCCTAAAGTTACAAACCCCTAGAGTTCACAATTTCACCCATCAAAATAAGTTATAACTTAAAAAGATAATGACTTTCCTCAATACATAGTCAATTTCACACTCAAAATAATTATAACAATAACAAAGTCAGAACTTTACCTGATTAAAAATAAAGCTCTTGCCCTGGCGAGCCCTGCCACAGACACAAACGATCCCAATAGGCTCCTTAACAAGCTGCAGAGTCGCAACCGCTTCTGGGTCCATCCAGAACCTCCCATTCTCGTCGAAATAGACCAGACGAATCGCCTTCGCAAGACCGGTCACCGGAGCGTTCACCGGAGACGGCGAATACGCAAACGATTGCAGTGAAACATCGGAGGCGTCTTTCGCTCTACCGAAAAGCTTCATCGTCTCCCATATGCCGTTTTGTATTTGCTCTGCAATCTTCGAGTTTTGGTTTATTTCCAAGCTTCGATCTTTCTTAGCTATTCTTCCTTCTCCTTTTCTCCTTCCAGAGTGAGAGAAAAAGAAAAAGAAAAAAAAGCGGTTTAAAAATGGGGAACAGGGGAAGGAAAAAGCAGAGCGCCTGAACATCGGGACTTTTTGACGTGCTCCGCCGGCGGACGAAAATTACTTTACTGGTCATTTGTATGCATGGTTGGAACTTGGAACGATGGCTTGGTAACTAAGCTACCTGCCTTCTTTATCTAAACATTTTCATTTTTGGGAAATGTGTTTTATGGGGGAGAACGATGGAGGGGTAAATTTTTTAATATAAATTTATTGAAACATGAAATGTTGTATGCATATTAATGTTTATCTGTTAAGTATATAAAAAATTAAAAAAATATTTTTAAAAACTATATTATTTTTAATTAAATAATATAAAAAATTAAAATATTTTTATCTTTATTTTAAAAATAATTAAGATATTTTAACTTTTTATTAAATTTTTATTAAAACAATATATTTTTTAGATTTTTTAATTTTTTACATTACATATTAATACTTACTTTTTTTTGTTAACTTCATATAAAATAAAAAAACCATAAAAAATTTGTTATTTTACTATTTACACTATTTTAAATTATAAAATAGTGACCTTTGAACCAAAAATCTAATAGTAAGATTTATCTCTTATTTAAGAATTACTGTTTAAGAATTACTATTTTACCATTCAAAATAATTTATTTTATAAAATAATTTTTTCAACTGTAAATAAGTTGTTAAAAAGAATTGTGCACTTATCAGAAAATGATTAGAATGAGTTAAAAATAATCATTTTGTTAGATAATAAAAGTGTTCTACGGAATAATTATGCAAATTGCATAACTATAAACGAATAATACTTATTCGTTTTACCTCGTAATTTTTAAATATTAAAATGAATATTATTTCAAAACTACTCATTTTAATAAATATTTATTGAAAAAGATTAAAATATTTTATTTTTAAATCATGAATTAAGATATTTTTTGTTATTTTTTATCATTTTATCTCTTAATTTTTTAAAAGTAAATGGACAAACAGTAATCCTTAATTATAATTATTAAGGGTGAAAAACAACTTGAGGTCTTTTTCCTTTAAAATTAAAGGTCAATTTTTTATAGTCTAACCTAAAAAATGCATTATCAAGTTAGATTATTGTAGTTTTATTTAGAATACAAAAAAGTATTGATTATTAAATGTTGGTCTCTAATATTGGATATATCTCTGTATAATAATTTCTGTTTTGAGTTACCATATATATGCCACTTAATGTGTCTGGAATGCAAAACTGCGTATTCTAAATAGTTCCCTCTCATTAAGGGGCATAGTAACCTTAGATGAGGCAGTCCCTCGTATTGAAGGGTCTCTCCTATCTCCACAAAATTTTGAGGAAGGCAAGGCTCCAAAGAGCTGAAATTATCAAGTAAGCATTTGAAACAACATTAGCTAACAAATCTTTTTTATTCTCTTTGTTCATGAAATACATGTACTGCATGCTGTTATAACAATCATTATTTTTGCTATATATTACATGATTGCTACGTTGACTTGTGAGCTATGGATACATACATACATACATAATCATAAAAACAGTTTGTGTGTGTGTTTATGTATATACGGATTGGACAGGATAGCAATGCCTGAGATGATGCAGCCAAATTGGTAATGCCATTCTTCACAAGCTCAAAGAGAAGTGCGGTATGTATGCTGTTGCTGAAGTGTTTGGGGAATCCCTTGGAAAATAGTAAACATGTTTTCTGTGTCATCACTTGAACTCGTTGCATTCAGTCTCTTCTTTGGATGCATCAACTCGTCCAAATTTCCAATAGAAAGTCTTCTTTCTATAGATTTGAGCACGTTTGTGACAGAAGA